CAATGAACAGTCCATATCATATATACACATTTAAATTATTTTACAAGAATTGCAGGTGTACAACTGGGGCACTGAATAGTCTATTATATTTCATTTCTACACATCTCAATTAGTTTTACCAATAAACTAAGAGGTGAACGACTGGGACACTGAATATACATGATATTTGCACACGTTTCTAAAGTCTTTATTTCTTGACCAATTTCGTAAAGCTAGGTAGTTTTGGAAATGGTAATGAACAAGCTTTCAATGTTCAACGTTCTTTGGTAGCAGAATACAGTAGAAATGGCCCGACTCTGATAAACAAGGCACATGTCGAGGAAATGTAAACACAGCGGATTTACCCTACACAACACATGTATACATGTATATATATTTGTAAACTGCATTACATTTACAATACATATAAAGCACTGAGAAGTGTATAAACCTCTTTTTTCTATGTATGTCACTTGTGTGAAAACCATGGTTACCACATCAAAAATTACCAAAAAATGCCAAAAAATGCTATTTTTAACCCAAAATTTGACCCCCGCAAGTAGTAATTTTTTTCCTAAGCTCTGTCTGAAATTAAAGATTACCTACCTGGTTGCAGAATTATCTGGGTCGCAGTAAAATTGTAGAACTTGATTTTTTGCAATTTTGCGTCGTGTGCTGTTGTCAAAATTTTACCTCCTGTAAAGCTAGCTTTTCATGTGTACGCACCCTTTCGTATTATGGCCAAAATTTTATTCTCGAACCAAAGAAATCTTCTTTCTTTTTTACAAATGTGAAGCTCACATAGCCCACTTCATCATGCTTATACCAATTTTAGTACAGTTTTATTTTTATATTTTTTTTACATATCATTATACAGGGGTTAGCCATTTAACAAAAATATCACCCATGGCCACAACCCTCTACTGTACTCTGCTACCTTATACATCACTTTTTTTTCCCCAAAATTTAATCAAAACCTTTTAAATGTCTGGAAAATGCGACAATGAACACAATGATGTATCCGTTTCCTTTCTCACTTTAATAGTGACCGAGTAATATGAATTCTCCTGAAAAGTGTATTTACCAATTCTGCTCTCAAACTACCAACAAAGGGAGGTAATCTGAAAAATGAAAACTTGAATAGGTTTGTAGTTTTCATGAATAAAATTTCTTTTTGGGTGAAATATGATGCCTTGAGATCATGTGCATGTAGAAAACAAACAGTACAGTGATACTATGATGTTACTGTCTTGTTTGATGACGTCATAGTAACTGTGATGTCATCATAACTATGACGTCATCAATGGGCATCTATGACATCATCGAGGATCACTGATATCAAAATATTGAACACTAGGAAACCCATCTCAACAACAAACTAGCAACAGACACACTTCCCGTAACCGATGAACAGCACAGAAATGTAAGATATTCTGAGAAATCAGACAAGTGCCACCATAGCAACCGTTATTTACTTTCCTCGCCTAGAATTGACAGTGACCCTCAGAAATTGTTCATTTAACATATTTCGCTAGAAAAAAAAGATTTTCTTCAGCTGTAATTATGGAAATAAAATTTATTGACATTACTGACTTTGCTTATTTCATCTGTATGCTGAATCAAGTGGAAAAAAACATCTAAAATAGTGTAATTAAAATGGAAACAGATATTTTACCCATTTTTACCTATTTTCAATAAATACAACTTTATGTATTAGTAACCATGGCTACCGGGTGCTGAACTGAGTGAAACAGACTGAAATCTAGTATGAATGCATCAGGAGATAGCCTGTGAACTATTTGATGTTTGGTATCAACTTTACCAATAACATAATTGACACATATGTGATGAATTGCAGAATTTCACAAGTGCCTGTGAAAGCGCGAGTTACCTCTCTTTATACATCCACAGGTAACAGGCTAATGACCTATATATAGACCAATCTATGTAACGGGTTTTTTGGCGTTTTTGAGTAGTTTTAAGTATTAATGAATGAAAGTGAAGCTGAATCAAGCATAAAAAGGGATTTTTTCAGAAAAAATCAAGTTCTATGTGTATATGGTAGCAGAATACAGTAGAAATGGCCCGACTCTGATAAACAAGGCACATGTCGAGGAAATGTAAACACAGCGGTTTTACCCTACACAACACATGTATACATGTATATATATTTGTAAACTGCATTACATTTACAATACATATAAAGCACTGAGAAGTGTATAAACCTCTTTTTTCTATGTATGTCACTTGTGTGAAAACCATGGTTACCACATCAAAAATTACCAAAAAATGCCAAAAAATGCTATTTTTAACCCAAAATTTGACCCCCGCAAGTAGTAATTTTTTTCCTAAGCTCTGTCTGAAATTAAAGATTACCTACCTGGTTGCAGAATTATCTGGGTCGCAGTAAAATTGTAGAACTTGATTTTTTGCAATTTTGCGTCGTGTGCTGTTGTCAAAATTTTACCTCCTGTAAAGCTAGCTTTTCATGTGTACGCACCCTTTCGTATTATGGCCAAAATTTTATTCTCGAACCAAAGAAATCTTCTTTCTTTTTTACAAATGTGAAGCTCACATAGCCCACTTCATCATGCTTATACCAATTTTAGTACAGTTTTATTTTTATATTTTTTTTACATATCATTATACAGGGGTTAGCCATTTAACAAAAATATCACCCATGGCCACAACCCTCTACTGTACTCTGCTACCTTTATTCCCTAAGCCTTCCGACCCATAACATGCAAATACAACATAGATATGTAGAATTTATGCAAACAAACAGAGAGTGGACCATAACGGAGTGTTTAAATGCTCAAATTAACCAGTTTATAATTAATCTTCCTTGAATGCTGAATGTACAATTTTTCCCGTTTTAATTATTTCCTTAATGTTGTTTACACTTATTAGTTGAACTAACTTGAACACACTAGGTTTTCAATAATAGTATTTCTTAAAATATTTTTATGTCAATCTTAATAAAAAGGACATTAAAGTAAAAAAATGGAATTCATCTTCAATTTCGGTTAATTGCAGCATGAACACCTTTTGTCATGTCACGAAATATTATTATGTCTACCTTTCTCTGTGTTAATATCATGACAAAAGGTGTACATGCTGCAAATATAACTATTGAGACCTATAATAAGCTTACATGTCATATATGTTCACAGGTTTTGTTGCACTACATACCAACACGCTACTGGCCAAATGTTATAGCTCTTGATCCTACGGATCATCAGAAGTCGTTCAAATTTCATACGATCTTCAACACCGGTCAAAAGTATTTGTATTTGCAAATTCTGTACCACGCTATGACAGCAGGCTACTGAACAATACCACGATTCAGGGCCTTATCGATCAAAAGAAGAATTCGCTTGAATTTGTTGGACATATTTGACGCCTGCGATGCAACACAAGGTTTTGTAGAGACTTATGCCAGCAAGATGCAAGCAAGGTATTATGAACCTGTGCTAAATACACCTTCAGATTTTGGTAAGCTTAAAACGGCAAGTACCTAACCTTTCGACTTTTAAGCAGCTGTGTACAGTACGTAATCAGTCAGAGTCACACACTATATGTGCATGAAAGAAAACAGGCCTTACTTCTGAGACAAACAAATACAACATGTACTCCTTGGCATGGAAGAATAGTTGGCTTACAAAGTAACATAAAAATATTTTACTCTAACCGGCAGCATACATTTGAGTTGCAAAACGGTTACTGCTGTACATTAGTTGATGGAATTCATCTTATTCATTCAAGGATTGAAATATGTAAATATGTAAATGATTCATTGTTATATATTTCGGGATATGCTTGAGTTCACGTCAATTCTACAATGACAACAAAATTCAAATACAGTATAGTGGATACAATTATTCAGAACGTTACCCAAACTATATGCTATGAGTTTTCTGTTAATATGTATGTTGCTACCTCCAGGTAGACACTATCTCAATGTAGCAGCATAAAGCAGTTGATTTGGAAAACGTCATACTAACAGAAAACTTTTTCTCAAAGTCATATTTTTTTTGATGTGTAAATGTAAACTGCTATAATGTTGTTGGATATGTACACCCGACCCGGAAGGTTCTGATAACACGAGCCAGTAACAGAAATATGCGACACTATTGTTTGTGAACACCGTCTCGCACAATATTTACATAATTGATTGTTCACTGATAAGAACGTTACATTACTTTAAAACATCAACGTTACAACGACTTACGGTGTATATTTTATAACAAAGATAGCACATGTTAGCCTTAAAACTAATATACCGATGTTGATCGGGATCGGAATTTATATTTTATAGCTTTGTTATCTTGATTTAAACTGTTTGTGCAGTCCATAACGCACTTGCCTTTCAGCACTTCATCCGGGTTTATATTCCCTTATTGAACACAAAAAGGTATGAGACCACTTTTGCTCTCTCGGATTACTCAAATTTCCTCCCATGTTAGGATCTCATGCGTTCTTCACACCGAACCACTAGAGTGATTGATATAAGTTGTTCGATATGTTATTTGATATTAAATAAAAAGCAAATAAGAACAGCAATTCTAGCTCATTTAAATTATTCATTTGTTATCCCACGATCTAATTATAACCAAAGGAATCAACAAAAACAACGTTGACATATGTAAATTCATGTTTGCCAGGCTTGCAAAAGATAAGGAGACTGAAAGAGCTGCAAAAATAGTGAATCGGTAAGAAGGAAATCATCCGATGCAAGATTCTGTATTTACATCGTTTTTTTGTAAACGATTCTTTTTGAACTATTTATAGATATTACTTACCACTATTTTTAAGGTATATAAGATACATCAATACTAATTTATTAAGGCTGAAAGTTCACATTAGTCTGTTCAGTCGTTGCAACGTCAATATATTATACTCGTGTAATATTCTTATCATTGAATGATCAATCGTATAAATATTGCGCAAGACGGTAATCATAAAAGTGGCATATTTCTGTTACCAGAGTTTGCTATCAGAACCTTCCGGGTTGTCTGTGTATAGCTTGTCTTCTGCGTATAGAATGGCTTACATAAGATTGTACTGTTTTCTGCTTTTTGCTGTTTGTAGCATCTACGGAGATGTATCAGGAAACGCACAGGTAAGCAACATACTCAGAACATATATTGAACATATATAACGTGCAGTACAACTGTTACGATAGGATTCCGTGTGCTTGATTTAGTTATAATGTATCAAAGTTGGAAAAGCTTAATCAGTCAACCCCATTAAACAACACAATACTAATACCGTAACATTTTACACATTGTTATATATTATGTTTTATAATATTGAATATCTGAGCAATATATCAAAGCAATGATAAATTGCTATTATTAAACATGGAGATAGCATGTTTATATGTCAATGAATAATCTATAACAGTAACACATCTTTTTTTACTTTGTATATATTTTTGTTATAAAATGTTTATTAGGTTTAAGTAAATACAAAACAAAATCTATGTAAAATAGTCAGCTGTACTATGTACCTTTCCCATTTACTATGTACTACAATTTGATTCTATTTTGCACTCCGAATATTTTTGCAAAAGTTTATGATGTTGTCGATAATTCCCTTATTGTCTAGATCAGTCAGAATAATATATATAAATGATAGTGTTTTCGATGTTAATTCCGTCCATATAATATCATTTCTTTTTCTTAGTAGTATATCTGAACAGAAATCTGAGCGATTGGGTCTCATACCGCTAACCGCGTTTGATAAGGAAAGACGATGGATTTTGTCCAAATTAATTATACATCACTGTATTCCTCTGAACTAAATACGCATTTTATCCTATTGTCATTAAGTACGAATGTATCGTGTGTATACGCATCTGTATGTGCGAACTGTAATTTGCTTTAGCTAAGTACGTTATGTACTATTTAGTACGAAACAAAATTTTAAGAAATTCTATTGAGAAATGGTGACACAATCCTATTACCTTAACTCGAAATTGCTATTAGTTACTTCAAATATAGACATCGCATATATACTCACTTGAAATTTCGAGACACTTCTTTGAAAATGCCTCGAAAAATTAATGAGCGTTTGTCTCTTGTTTTAACAGCTAAGAAATGACGTACGTGACCACCTGAAGTTATGGCCAAAAAAGACGATGCTTTACGCAATAGGCAGTAATTATGGTAAGAGCCGGCAACACATGTTCTTCCTTGTGGTAAGATAAAATACCTCGATTTGCTTTAATGCCTTACCTCATAATGCAGCGTAAAAATAGCCGGCATTCGAACAAAGGTACACAAAGCGATGTAGAGGATAAAAATACCTCAATTCGATTTAAAACATCACTTTATAATTAATATTTTACCTCAGAGCACAGAACAAACGTAGTCACGCATACTCGTGCTTGGGTGTCTGTGTGTGTGCGTGTAAAATGTCGTACGTACGTGATAAACAAAAGTTGTATAAACACGGTTGACGAGAAAAAACGTCGTACAAACTAAAGTCGTACAAACTAAATATACAGTCGTATGTACATGAACGTGTAAAATAGTTCGCATGTGTATGTACGTGTTTACAGTCCTACATACATATAGGTATTGAAAGTCGTTTCAAAGAGACTAAATATCGTACAAACAGAATTTGAAGTCATACAAACGAGATAAAAACGCATAAATAGTACCTAGCATGACTTTAATGAAAATTTACAAAGACGTGGAGACAAAAGAAATCACTAGCATTGCTCTCTGAGTGTAAAAATACATCAGGACTGGATCTGGATTCTATCCCTTGACAAACGACCATTACATTATCGCTCTATCAAGATAATATCGCTGATTTCATTGGGCACGGTGTATCAATATGGATTGAAGACATTCTGGGTCAACTGGCGGAAAAAAGAAGAACTGTGAAAAAACTGGGGGAAACCCTGAGTAAGAAAAGGCGCCTTTTTGCTCACGACATCATCGAGTTGTTGGAATTTATACTCATTATAATATATTTCGCATTCATGGGCACTTTTTACCAACAAACGTTAGGAGTCTCAACGGGTAGCCCAGTATCACCTATTGTTGCTAACCTCTGGAGGAGAAAACCATCACAACTGCTATGGATGGGTGCGTCCTAAACTTTGGAAAATATGTGTTGACGATATTTTGTAAGCAGTAAAGAAAGGTGAGGTGTAAAAACCTATCAACTCACCTAATCTAGGTTATACTTATTGAATAAATATGTATAGTTAGCTTACTTATGTCTGTAAGCTAACCTATGTATTTGTATTATATTATAATACCTTAGTATTACCTAATGATTACCTATGTATTAGTATTTGTCATATATTGTCTTATGCTTATGTTATGAATAATTAGAAACAACACATGTAGTGACCTTTCTTTGTTAGAATGACATATAATTCATTTCATGGGAAAATTGATACAGGCTGATTAAATTGAGGGGAACAATTAAATATTTTTAAAAATAAAACGGAATAAGAATTTATATATGCGAAATATTACCACGTACTACACAAGCAATAACAAAGCCCGGCTGTCCGTACAAGGCTAAAGATTATATATGCCTTGGAAATGGACTAGAGTGTACAAGTGCCTGCTATCTCGAAGATAGTCCTAATATGAGTGAAGATAATCAGGAGCAGAAGGCCCAAGAAATATTTGGACAATTAGGATAGTCTACACCTTATAAAAAGTATAATAAAAATCTGTGTCCTGAAGTACGCCTATAAGTAAAGATCAAATTTGCATATTCTCAATATAATTGCACGAATGTTAAGGATTAATGCACAGAAATTCATTATATAGTGTGGGAGAAAAAAACAGCGTTACCAGAGAAACGCAAATGGAAACAAAACTAGCACAAACTTTGAAATAATGTTTTTTTCTGATGATTTTGTTACTGCCAACTACAGTGTCAACCAAAATCTAACTGAACAATACCTATAAAAGGCTATATACTTATTGTTATCATTATCATTTATAATTTCGAAGAAATTACAAGATTTTGACTTAACTATGTAATTACGCGATTGAACACGACAGTTGTCAAATCTATCAAACAGTTTTGCATATCGATTTGATACATCTTTAAGCTGGTAACATTTTTTAAGTGACTATTTTGGTACCAATATTTCGCCTGGCCTATATCTTATTCGTATGACTTTTTATCTCGTTTCTGCGATTTAAAATACATTTTTTTCATTCAAAACAAAAGGCACGAATAAACTTACTTATATTGCATAAAAAAACCTTACTGCAATATACTAATATAACAATAAACAATATCAAAAATCTTTAAATAATCTTTCACTGAAATGGATTATTTATAAAAGCTTACCAAATGCCAAAATTAAGGATAAAAAAGAGTTTTAATGGAAACATCATCCAATCACTGACACTATTTTAACTCTGGATTGACAACATACTTATTTATGTAGATGACGACCAAAGACTCCTTATCGAGCAGTCAATGCGGAAAATTGAGCAAGCAGTCAATATTGGAGAAAGTGCCTGTTTCTTATTCAGAGAGAAAGAGAAGAATCGGGAAAGTCCCCATCACTTGTTTATTCCTGGTTTGAAAAATGGGTAAGCAGGGTAAACAAGAGGAAAGTGAAATACTAGAGTTTCTATATAGAATAATTCCTGATAAATTGAAAAAGACATTAGAAAATATGCAAAAACCAAACTGAAATCACAGTTTACTCTTGCAAGTGCTCACTGCTTTTTAATGTATTTCATTTGCCTTTTAGTGTCTGAATCATTCTTTGGTTTTATTTGAACATACAGCTTAATTGTAGATAGTATAAAGTTGTGTGACCGAAACAACGCACTAAAACTAGCATGCGCAAATCGTGCATACATCGTTCACACACCGTCCGCACATCGTCCACACATGGTGCGCACAACTGTGTGATTTAGCAATCGTTCGCCCCGTTGTGCGCTTCTCTCCGCACAACTGTGCAATTTGGTACAATTTGTTGATCAAAATTACGGAAAAAATACGGAAGGCTCATATGCAATCATGCACACTATATACAACTGTAATTTTTCATCACAATAATTAAGATAATGTACAATTTTACAATGCGTGTTACACAGTATTACCGTGACCGTTAAACTGTTAAGAATAGGTTTGGATCCCAGGTAACAGAAGAGGTAAATGACATTTTGATGTTATGAATACTCAACTGGACGCTAAGTATTTGTTATTTGCAATCGTTTTGGTCTATGGCTCCCCTTCACATTGATTTTCACACCCCGACGAGTTACGAAAGTGCCCCGGTTGAGGACAACTACGGTCCAGGTACCTGTACAAAGTGGCTATGTTAACCTGTATTCGGGACTGTATTGTAATTTTAAAAGTGTCGATTAAGATTGTTTAAAAAACACCGAAAACACCATTTACTAATTTAAGAAAGTATATGCAGACAGAAAAGCTAATAAATGTAGCGATAATATAGAAACATACTAGCAAGTTTATAGGTTTAAACACGAAACCTTATATTTTGTTAAGCCATTCCTCAATTTACACCAACCACGATTGCTATCGCACACCGTTCGTCCAATGTTAGCCCGCCATATTCAAATCGCCTTCTGTCCGTCCTTCCTCGTTGTCATTTAATAATTCTTGTTACCGCTATGTTTCAGAAAGTGATGGATGGATCTTTCTCAAATTTGATATGTAAGTTCCCCTAGGTCCATAGTTGAGCATAAAATACTTGTGAGACTGATCGGATAAAAAAATGGCCATCGGATCTACAGGTGGGGATCTTTCTCATGTTTAATATGTAGGTTCCCCTTGATATATAGTAGCCATTTGTACATTTGAGACTGATCGGATAAAAAAATGACCGACAGACAGCCATCTTGGATTTTTGACTGTTCAGGTTTGTCATATCTATTTCTCAGGAAGTATTAGAGGGACTATCTATTTGGTACATGTATGTAGGTTTCCCTTGATCTATAGCTTTGCCTGTTTACTTTTGAGACTGATCGTTTAGCAACATAACCGACAGGAAACCATCTTGTAATTTACAGTTCATGATTGTTATTGCTATTTCTCAGAGAGTACCGGTAGGATATTTCTCACATTTTAAAGGAAGGTTCCCATTGGTCTCTTGTTTTGCATGCTTTATATTGAAACTGATTTTAAAAACAACATGGCCGCCAGGTGAAAAGTTTGTTGTCGCTGATGACTGATATTTCTCAAATTAAATATGAAGATTCCCCTATGTCCATAATTGTGCATGTATTATTTGGAAATTGATTGCAAAATTTAGGTGGTCGCGGGCGATCATCTTGCATTTTATTAGATATAAATAGGAAATATCATCACTTTTCCCAGGAATATTAAACAGATCTTTCTAATTTTGCGAAGATATTTTTCTATTTCTTTCACATTAAGTACTATACTAGTAAATATGTGAAACGACAAACTCACTTTGAAGGCTGTCTTTTATACACAGCAGTATTAAGTTTAGATCAAAAGTTACCACAAAATGCATTTTCTGTTTACATGACCCGATCAAACAGATACGAGAAAAGAAGAGAAAAGATCGAGATGACGTAGAACTAGTAAAAATGGTACAAAGGTGGGCGCCAAGACCCATCTGGGATATCTTGTTAACGGTTATCATAATGTAAATAAGATTATACATGTTTATACCAAGTATTTCCGTTTTTTGTACTCAGTTGTCGTTACAATGAAACAAAACTTGGGTTATAGGTTTTGTCAATCATTTGGAATAGCTTGATAATAATGAACATGTACATGTTATATATACGTATAAATTGATCACACACGCTGTTTAACACTTATCATTGATGATGTTGTTTTCATCAATCTTTATTTTCCCCCGATATGGAGATGAATTGTACATTAACATATAATGTAAACATTGAAACACATGATTTATATATATACACATTTACAATAACAGTAGACACTGAGGAAACAATTTCCTTGGTTCAGTTCAGTGAATATAAATCTCAGGTGAACATTCACACACATTCTCCCCCTCCGACATGCACGCACGCACGCACGCACGCACGCACGCACACTTCCTCACACACGCACGCACGTACACTTCCTCACACACGCACGCACGCACACTTCCTCACACACGCACACACACACACGCACGCATCATCACACACGCGCACATACTTCCTTGCACAACCACGCACACACGCACGGCCACACACACGCATCCTCACAGACGCACAAACACACACACACGCACACACGCACGCATCACCACACACGCGCGCATATTTCCTTGCACATACACGCACACACACCAATCATCAGACTTATGCACGCACACATCATCACACACACGACCACGCACACTTCCTCTCACATGCACGCACTCACCCTCACATACTTAAGCACACACACACACCTCACGAACGCATACACACTCCCTCACACACCCACGAACGCACCCTATCTCACACACGCACGCACTCACATTCATACATTTAAGCACACACCTCACAAACCCACGCACACATCCTCACACACACACGAACGCACCCTTCCTCACACACGCACGCTCATATCACTGTTATGCGCTACCACCAATATTCAGCTTCACCATGTATATATATAGTATTTTAGCCGATACTTACTTACCAGCATAATAGGCTTTTTCAGACCATACGATTTCGATTCAATATATGTTATATTACTGTATATATTATTGGTAAAAAATCACAATTGTGGTTCAGCAAATAGATGAGTACAGTGCCTGCTCAGCGAATGACTTTCTTTACGATACGTTTCCACTCCCCTTTTCCCGGAATTTGAACTCTCGCTGGTACTTATCGAGTTAGGATCTTAAGTTGTATTTGTGAAGTTTTGTGAAGTATTGCAACGATATCCGGGATGAAACCACGTTGTTGTGTTGTATTTCCGTCTTCCTTGCCAATAATGTAGCTGTATAGACGAACTAAGACCATTCCTCCGTCTATATAGCTACATTATTGGCGAGGAAGACGGAAATACAACACAACAACGTGGTTTCACCCGGCCTTTATAAAATCATTTTTGAACCATTTGTTCATTAAAATGGAAGTGAAAACTTTTGCTTCATGATAACAAAACCTGTTCTGCTATATCTATCATTATCAGAAATGTTTCGAAGTGGCCATTGTTTGATGGTTAATAAAACCAACAGGGAATTCTTCATTTGTTGTCTCTTTTTACGGTGTGTTATCCAGTGTATGCTATACTGAAGATGTGGGGGAAAATACACAAAAAAGACAGTGTCTTTACCTAGCTGACGACTGTTTTAACGAGAGAGATATAGTTTCTCTGTTGGTGGTCACAATGGGGCTGTATCCTGAACATCAGAGACCCGACAGAGACCAGTACATACAGGTACACATGGACAACGTACAGGATGGTAAGTATACCAGACACACGACAGGTACCAGTACATACAGTTACACATGGACAACGTACGGATGGTAAGTATACCAGAGACACGACAGGGACCAGTACATACAGGTACACATGGACAACGTACATGGTGGTAAGCATACAAGAGTCACAACAGGAACCAGTACATACAGGTACACATGGACAACGTACAGGATGGTAAGTATACCAGAGACACGACAGGGACCAGTACATACAGGTACACATGGACAACGTATAGGATGGTAAGTATACCAGAGACACAACAGGGATCAGTACATACAGGTACCCATGGACAACGTACATGATGGTAAGTATACCAGATACAAGACAGGGATCAGTACATACAGGTAAAAATGGACAACGTACAGGATGGTAAGTGTACCTGAGACACAACACGGATCAGTACATATACATTTGTAGGTACACATAGACAACGTACAGGATGGTTAGTATACCAATGACACGACAGGGACCAGTACATACCAGTACACATGGACAACGTACAGGATGGTAAGTTTACCAGAGGCATGACAAGGACCAGTACATACAGGTACACAGGGACAACGTACAGGATGGTAAGTATACCTGTGACAC